AAAGAATTTTGACGTTGTCATAAGCACACCCACAAATTAACCAAGATGAGATTTGACAAAGGATCAGGGTTCAGGGATGGAAAACCTACTTTTACTATTGATTATAATGCATGCGTTAAATCATAGATTATAATTCCATTGTGTTGGTTGGTCTATGGCTAGACCACACTCTACTCACTCATACTATTTACAAAAACCCATAATTTTTCAAGTACAATAGGTTATGCATGTATGTTCGGTTATTTGCACCTCTAGTAAAAAAAAAGAAAATTTGGAAACGTATATTATCATGTTAATATGGGGAAATTTCAAATTATTTTAATCTTTGATGCTAACGAGGATTTTGCGAGTAATTTTAGTATCCTTGCGAGGAAGATCGAGGATTTCCGTCGTTTCGTGCGGGGAAAATCAAAGAGGTTGGTTGGCAACACTGCCCACATGTTTCTAAGGCAACGAAATATTCAGTTGAAAGGGACGGGACACTGTGTGAGGTTATGTGTGAATCAGTAAATTTGCGAACTTTGATGTGTTCTGAAACCCATTGATAATGTACATATACACTTAATAATTTTTGTTTATGATATTATATGCTTTCACCTTTCAAATAATATTTAGTTTACTACATTATCTTTTAAAACGAAACCAGAAATTTGATTTTAATATCTGTACTCATTTGCGTACAAATCTCAAATGTCTTTGAATCTCAAAAAACGTCCCTGAAGAGGATATATACGTCCGTGAACGCGATATCTTGAGTAATTTTTCTCCGATTTTGAAGAAATTTGGTTTGAAGGTAAGGCGGGATAATCTTGAATGATTTCGCGAACCAGCATGATCGGACCATGGTAGAAGGGATTTACGGGGGATTTTATGGGGTAAATATTGGGTTTTCTCATTTTTGTCCCTCAAAACACAATATTTTCAAATTTCTCTCGACCATTTTAAAGAGCTTAAAAAACAAATAATTTAGTATACCAAAGTCTTTTTGTATGTTTATTGGTTACAGAGAAAATGTAAAAAATGCAAATTTAAAATCCCCATGTTATTCTTATGGAGAATATTGTAAAATGTTGTAGTTTGCTTGTTGTGCGAATATATTTTGATAAAACTTGGCAAATTATTTATTTTATACTAAGCTACTAATATCTTATCAAAAACACAATTTATTAGCCTCCCTGTAGCAGCAAACCTAGGCACTCGTTAAACCTAAATGTTATTTAAATAAAAATCAATTCAGGCAAATGGAAATTCGCAGGTTTGCTGCGGCGGGGGTATTAATGATTTTTGTAGTCGAGCGTCATCTTTGGGTGTAATTAAATTTCGTAGTTAGGGGCCTACCAAGGGGGTTGTTCTGGTCTGGCTGGTAAATTACTTACACTATTATAAAGTGCAGTTACAAACCTAGAAGCTGTAATCTATATAGAACCAGATGCCCGAAACCGCACAGGTGAGGCTCTTTAAAAGAGGGGATTTCAAAATATTATTAGCTAAGTTGCTAACCTTATTTATTTGCTTTAGCTAATGATGGGATTTCAACTCTATAATGAAACCAAGAGTGCATATGTATATATTTTGTATTGTTTTCTTATCGAACTCAAACTCTGCACTGAAAATACATTATTTTTGCCCTGAGCAATTTTCAACATACACAGGTATTTCTGACTATGAGACATTGTTAATATTTAGTAGTAAATTGGTTTTACATTACCTTTTATCAGTTCCAAAAAGTAACCTTTAAGTGATACATGTTTCGGCGAACTGCTATTGTCAAACACGTCATTCCAAGAAAATACATTAATTCCGCTTGAATAGCTTCGATTCAATAAACGACAAACACATTTAACACACGACACGAACTACATTAAAAATACTTAAATGTTTAATATAACTTACTAATTTAAGACTAGTATTTGGACTACATTGTTTACTTTGGCTCTTTTGCAGGAAAGCAACACAATATTAATAATGCCACAAGATAAATAAAACAGCGTTTATGTATAGTCCTGATTTTTTTAATTAAATTATGTTATTGGTATATTAACTAACGCGACCAAAATTCACCGAGACAGATATCTGAAAAAGTTATGTTGCATGAGTTGCAGTCATCTAAATTCAGAAACTTACTATGCTGACGCTAAACCAAGTTAAAACTGAGTTGTTTTTCTTATCTGTTAGCTCAGCCAACTTCACGTATTGCTTTTACACGAATATCCATCGCTTTGATATATGTATTCATGATGATAGCTGTAAAACAAGGTGACAACATCCTGGAATAAGATAACGAAATGTAATTTGATCTTCCAAATCGATAGAGTTCATAAAAAATAAACTAAATATAACAGTTATCTACATTTTAATTTGTTCTCAAGTACCTTCAAGACATCTCCTTATTGGGTGAAATGAGACCCAGTTGGCAGTTGTTGTGTTTTGGGCTATTAATGTATGATGCTTTTCTAACAAGTTTACATTATACGATAACATGCCAATGTTTAAACTATTCTCATGCGTAAAATACATACCACTTTTAGATAAGTTTTTAGTGTTTTAAAATTGTAAATAAAAAACAAACATGTTGATGAAATTTCAAGAAATAATGTCTACCTTTCATACAAAACAAAAATTTCGAAAAGAATAAAAATTCAAAAAAATGCCAGATTTTTAAAAATCTACCAAACAAAAAATTTCTTAAAAATAATGGAATTTTATAAATAATTAAAAAATCTCAATTCTTACACAAAAAGTGTTTGTAAATAAGTGAAATTACCACCTCTCTGTACCTCTGTGCCATTACTGTGTATTCTTTAATCTGTGCTTTTATATGTAACAACAGTCAATCTTAGTTTTACATTTAGAAGGGCGATTGGCCAGTTTTCCGCTTAGTTTATCTTACGATACAGAGTTGCCATTCCGGGTCACAAGTTGTCAGCTCGGTGGTGTTTGACTTGGTCGGTCACTCCTCATCACAGAGCCACTTCTAAGCTATATGTGCTTCCCTTTGACTTGTTTGTAAAGTTAAACATTCGAGTATGTAAACACTCGGTTATTTTTGCTACGAACAGACAAATAAAAAAGTAAAAGCTGCTGTATGGTTTAAATTCGGATTGTATGTAAACAAAAATAAATAACCAACTCTGGTAATGCAATACGTCAGCGTCAAAATCATTTCCATTCGTGCGTGGGCCTAAGTAGTAGTAATAATGTAGCACGTGTGTCAACGCAGGTGACGGAACCATGACGCATATTAATAGACTTGCAAAGGTTCAAAGCAATTAAGCCCTTAATTACACCCGAATATCGCGACTAACTCAGCGACGCACGTGGTTTTGTCATCAACTCATGCTTCTTTAATTCAAAATAAAATATTGCTCAGAAACTAGTTTTTATATTTGGATCAAAGTGGTTTATAGTTTAACACAATTTGTTAAGTATACGTTTTCTGAAATATGTTTTGGCGAATATCAGTTTTCTGTTGAAACCTCTAGGAAACTTCGTTCTTTTGCTTTTGATCAAAGACATAAACTATATTTGAGTCTCGGCAATACAGGCTAATATACCATGTAGGTCCAAATAGCATATGCAAAATAAATTAATAGGAAAAGAAAAATGCGCCAGTAAAAGGTCTGTGGGAGTATTTGCATATGCTACTTTTTTGTTGCCTTCATGTGCTGGAAAATCCGGAATATTGTTAACAATATAGATGATATACAGCTACATAACAAGTTCCAAATATACAGACATTTTGAGAAACGTTTCCGAGCAATTGCCTTAATTTATTGTCAATACAGGGATACGGTATCAAACGTTTTACAATTTTTGGATATTTGGTCTGCAATACAAAATATTATATTTAATTTTTTTAAATACTACCTTTGCACTTCGAATTAAAAAATATTATACATTCAAATAAACTCAACATCGGTTTGAAAAGGGGATTTCAATTGGCTTAAATTGAATTTCGGCGTAACGCGGTGCGGTATTCAGCGATAGAATATTAATTAACCGAGTGAAACGTTGTGGTGGTCTGCTACACACCAAACACGTATGCTTTCAATTTGTGCCGTCACTGTTTTCTCATTTCGGAGAAAATCAAAAGGCCCGCAGTTTGGTTGTATATGGTGTGTTCAGGTGCAATTTGATTATTTTTAAATTCTCTGTCACAGGAAAACTGTAAATTAAGCGCAGTTTAAGTTGATTTATTAAAACGTTATTCCAAGCCGTCCCCAGTCCAAAGTACTATAATTAACTCATAGATTCATGTCTAAAAATGCTGTTGAGTTATCAGCAGTAGTTTACTACTATGAATAACAAACAAATTGTTATGTATGTAGAGTTTCCGAAATAATAAATCAATTGAACGTTAAAAGGAAAAATATACATAGGTCTACTTTCACCTATTAGCTTGACAACAATAATTTATCATAGTGGATAAGCACAGGGAGTAACAATGAGATTTTATCGGAAAATCACAAAAATGGCAATAACTTTTGTTCCGTAATTTTTACAGCATTGGAGATGGAGCCACGTTGTTTAAAGTTGAAAGGACCATAACATACGGTACTAAAGTTTAATCAAACTCAATCGATTTCTTATTTGTTAAAATCATCATTTTCCGTAGATTTAATATCCGTGAGCCAATTAACACGGATATTTCCACCCAAAACACTTATTTAAATATGTTGACGAAAAAAATACTTCCTCCAAAATTTATAAATATCAAAAAACCAAAAGTCTGTAGTAGTTGCAGGCCTACAATGTATGCTTACCAATGTCTGCAGGATGTTACAAATAATGTCATGTGTTGTGGGGGTGCAGGGTTGGTGTCACGGTTCGAAGTCACAGCTGGTCTGTTGTCACTTACCTACATTATCTTGTTACCAATGTCTGCAAGATGTTACAGATAATGTCATGTGTTGTGGGGGTGCAGGGTTGGTGTCACGGTTCGAAGTCACAGCTGGTCTGTTGTCACTTACCTACATTACCTTGTTACCAATGTCTGCAAGATGTTACAGATAATGTCATGTGGTGTGGTGGTGGAGGGTCGGTGTCACGGTTCGAAGTCACAGCTGGTCTGTTGTCACTTACCTACATTATCTTGTTACCAATGTCTGCAAGATGTTACAGATAATGTCATGTGTTGTGGTGGTGGAGGGTTGGTGCCACGGTTCGGTGTCACAGAAGGTCTGTTGTCACTTACCTACATTATCTTGTTACCAATGTCTGCAAGATGTTACAGATAATGTCATGTGTTGTGGTGGTGGAGGGTTGGTGTCACGGTTCGAAGTCACAGCTGGTCTGTTGTCACTTACCTACATTATCTTGTTACCAATGTCTGCAAGATGTTACAGATAATGTCATGTGGTGTGGTGGTGGAGGGTTGGTGCCACGGTTCGGTGTCACAGAAGGTCTGTTGTCACTTACCTACATTATCTTGTTACCAATGTCTGCAAGATGTTACAGATAATGTCATGTGTTGTGGTGGTGGAGGGTTGGTGCCACGGTTCGGTGTCACAGCAGGTCTGTTATCACTTACCTACATTATCTTGTTACCAATGTCTGCAAGATGTTACAGATAATGTCATGTGCTGTGGTGGTGGAGGGTTGGTGGCACGGCTCGGTGTCACAGAAGGTCTGTTGTCACTTACCTACGTTATCTTGTTACCAATGTCTGCAAGATGTTACAGATAATGTCATGTGCTGTGGTGGTGGAGGGTTGGTGGCACGGCTCGGTGTCACAGCAGGTCTATTGTCCCTTATCTCAGTTGTCGGTGCTGTGCTGACAGGAGGGTGGCTATACACAAGAGAACCTCTAACTCTGCCAGGATCCAGGACCAAATCCTGTTGCGTCACATTTAGGATAGGTTTATGGCGTGTTTGCGCTTCTCTCAAGAGAGTGCTGTCTTCCACTCTATCTGAACCATACATTTGTAAGTATCTCAGTTAAATTTTTGCCACGCTATACGCAATCTTTACACCAGATAACAATAAAGACCGTTGCGATCTTCTTCTGACTCATTGCATTATATATCATAGCGTTTACTTAAACGTATTCTGAATGTTATTAATAAAACAGTCTATGTGAATTTCTGTATACGATCCATTCTTGAACTCATACCTAAGCATATAAAAATCGAATATAAAATACAAACGAGGAGTGTGTTTATTTTCTAGTTAATATGAAGTTTGGGTAAATTAATTTGTTTGTCTACAGTTTAAGGTATTTTAATGAGGCTGTAACTGTAGCAATCATCAGATAAACTTTCCCAGGGTTGAGATGAAATAGCTATAGTAGAACTTCTGTTGGTTTAGTTACCTAACTCACAATCAAATAGGCACAGATTGGTTGACAAGTTGAAGTAATCTTTGTTGTTAGTACTGCCGATGCCGGGGTGTCAGCTGATCCCATACTCAGGGTGGCGGGAAGTGAATGAGGCAGACCTGGGAATAACGTGGTCAGCTCTAGAGTTCACACCATCATTGATCACAAAAACGAGGTACGATATAAAGTGGTTACTTTTATATGATCAAAGTATTTCTGTTGTTTATTTTAGACCTTAAATTAACAGCTTAATTCGTCTTGTGTTTTATGGTGTACACATGATTTCCACTAGAAACACCTCGTGTTTGCAATTAAATGGAGCAATATTGAACCACAAATACTTATGTATCCAGGATAGGTCTAATTGACTGATATTAGGTACTGATTGTATGCGGCTTGTGCTAGATATCGAGTAGGTAGTTGATTGAGTAGTAAATTCTTGCTATGTATAGTATATATTTTTTTTTGTTCACTCATCAGCTAAAATAACATTTGCCAATATTACTGTAAACAATAATTAACAAACGAAACGAGTATACAAACTTCTAGGATACAAAACGTTTGGTTAAGGAAAATTGAACAAATTGAATTACAAAGAGAAATGAACAAAGAGTCACATAAAGTAATGGAACACGTATTAGTCTCAACATTAAAGAGTTTTCTCCTTGGCTTCTAATACTTTTTGTAGCCATAAATCTTCTGTTTTAGTTGTTTTTTCACCGATAGTAAAAAGGCTAAATGATGTGATGTCAAACAATATTAACTAGCCATTTGTATTATTTATCTGGGCTAGTATTTACTGTATCTTTCCTTAAATTTTAATACAGTACATATTCTACTGGCACTGCTAAAATTAATAAATTACCGGCATCTAAATTAATGAAACAAGCAGAACAGATAATCTGGTTCAAAATAACATCAAAGTACCAGTATATTTATAGCCTGTTTTAGATAGCCCGTTTGAATTTGTTTAAAAGTGGATTATGAGCTTTCTCAAAAACAGCCACTGTAACATGTTGCTATAAAAACTTTAAAATCTAAACGTCAATAACTGGCGATGTTGATACTGTAGAACCAATGTCCAATAAGAACAGCACGTGAGGTATTGGATACACTATCCTACTCACTTTATTGGTTAGTGTTTTAATTTTATTTGAACATTGGAAAGAATCCATAAAATGAATAATATCCTTTAAATGCACAAGATTTAACACTATGCTGTATAAATCAGATAGTAGTTATAATTTTAAAAGTAGATACAAATTAAATAAGATATTCTTGTAATATCTTTTAAATTTTCATAAAAAAAAACCAATTGTATTAGATAGAATTGCTTTTCACAATTTATTTTATTAGGCTTATTTCAGGTTGTTCATCTAACCTGAGATTGGGTATTGAAATTTGAACCTTATTACCGTATTCTCAAAATGGTACTTTTACTATGATACAACTAGGAATAGAAACGTGCTTATATTTTTCCCCCTTCAAAATACCAACTAGTGTGGTTTGTTTTATTTTTCTAAACTTGGGAGTTGCTTGCCTAGTGATTAGAGTGCGGGACTGTTATCAGGAAGATCCGAGTTCAAATCCGGCTAATTACAAGAGACTTTTAACTGTGTGTCAGAGATGCGACCCGGTGATTCTGATCCTACTTTTGTCTTTTCCAAAGAATAAGGATAAGGACAGAATAGAGACCTCTATATTAAATGGCTCCATTGAAAAATCAAAAATCCGCCACAGCAAACCTGTAGACTAAGCCATACCTCTTTACGTGATTTGATTTACACCAAGATATGGTTATAAAAATTTCATATTTATTCCATTTTGGAATAAAATTAGGTTTAATGAGTAATTGTTTTTGTTGCAACAGGGAAAATCATGTTTTTTTTAGTGAAATGTTAATAGTTTAGTGTAACATATAAACAATTTCCAAATTTGATAAAAATATACCCATAAAAACTCCAACAGTTAACATGTATTTTCCATTAGAATAACGTGTGAATTTTGGATTGCTGGTTTTTTAAATATTCTCCTTAACCGTTCACTGCATAAACATGTTTCAATGCACTACATTATTTGTTAACTAGAAATTGGTTTGGAAACTCGTACGAATAAATGTTGGTTTATAAGTTTGTACCGAATTTAATCCAAATTGGATAATATTTACTCGAGTTACGGGTATCGTGCTAATGGACACTCACCTATAATATATATGAATTTTTTGAACGGATGGTTATTTTGAGTCTGAGGACCTCAAAACTAAAAAGTAAATCTGTCTCGGGTCTTTTACCGTGAGACCTACGGCAATAGCTCATTTTCTGTATGGGAAATTCCTTCAAAAGGATCAAAAGTCATGTAATCTGTCTGTATTAGAGATCTCCGACTATGCAAAGCCTTACGATTGTTAACTTCATTCTATTTTGCTAATCAGAAAGTTCTATTTGTTTAAAAATGCATACTTAACCAATTAAATGATAAAGAACTGTGCAGGACGATTGCAGTTCCCCTCAGAGTGTTAAGTATTCCAGTATCGTTTCAACTATAAATTCCTGAGAAAGAGTGTCAAAGATAAAGACCTGGATCCCGCGCCCAGTAAGTTGACGAATGGTGGCAATATCACTGGCCCCATCCCAGAGACTTAACTATGTAGTACACAGGTAATGTTGAGGTTAACTTTGACACTTTTCAATGAACAGCAGTTTTATTGTTATCTCAAATTTGCTTTCCACTTCTATTAAAATATTAAGATTATTAAGATTGACTACAACAGATACAGTTGTTACATTTACTAGGATGGACACACACTTTATTTCCAGTGTTGAGCTATTGACTTGGATTGTAATTAGAAACTTGGCCAAACAAACCAATTGAAAATAATATATGTATCTTAAAGTTTAAATTTAAATCTTTTAGAAATGAACAAAACTAAAATTGAATAGAGCTCAAAAATCGAACCAGCTTATTTTATTTTAAAATTTATAATGTAATTTATAAGATTGGATAGTTCTTTATTTATATTTATATCGCATGCACGCATATCTAAGGTTAGAATCTTAATAATAAGGTTCTATACTTCAATAGGTTCGGTACTCGGATCTATCGAAAATATTAAAAAAATATGTTCTGCTTGTATTGTTTAGAAAATAATCATTTTATTTTATTGACTTCTTTCGTATACACCCCCCAAAAAAGTGGATTGACACTTTAACCATAGCTACTGTATTGCTTTAACTTTCACCCTGTATAATTTGGCCAACTCTATTAGTCTTTAAAATAATTATTTGTATTCTTGCTGAACGGTTAGGTGGGCGTATCAAAGAAAGAATTTATGTTACCGTATTCGTGTTTGTAGAACGCAGATAATAAATAATTGTTGAAAATAAGCATTCCAAACAACAGACCAACATAACCACACAGCAGTTACAAGAATAAGCAGCTAAACGTGTAGTGGAGAAGTCAAAGAAAGGTTCGCACACTTGGACAAGGTCCAAAGTTTTGCTGTTAATTCAATAACATACAACAGCGGTTGGCGGTCGGTCGCCGGACACTTATCGCCTTGTAACTTGCCAGCATTACTCTCTTGAACGTATATGTTGTAAATAATGTCTGTAGCTTTAATGATTGATTTTCTTATTTATATTTTTATTTAATGGTAAAGATTTTACTATTAAGTAGCCTATCTTTATTTATTTATGTTTAGTCTCAACTAAGTAAACAGAATTCGCTGTTTAATTTTGATCATATTAACCAACAGTTGGCTTCAATGATCGAATCCTGATACTCGAATCTCAAAATAAAAATTAAAAACCTGTTCGATTAGTTGATGTTACTATTGTTACTGTTGTAATAAATTAGGATAGGCTACTTAACAATAAAATGTTTACTATTAAATTAAAACTTAATGAAGAGAATTAACCATTCCCACTAATTTATACACCTGGCTAGGGGGTAAAATTCCGGGGGTAAAAGTCCGGGGGTAAAATTCCGGCCCGTACACTCTAGGTTTTTATAATTTGATGTGTTCCGATTAAATTCACAACCGTGAAAATATACGTTTAATTCCGCGTTTAATCCATCGAACTGATGTCGCAAAACTCAAAAGTTTGCGGCCGGAATTTTACCCCCTGGTTTGTGACGTTACGTTTGTACAGGGTGTAAAATTCCAGGGTGATAAAAATCCGCTACCCAAAAAAAATCAGCGAGATAAGGTGAGTGTTCCCTCCCAAGCCGCAATGCCCCGAGACTTGTTTTACGTGCAACGCCCGTGGATGTTAGTAGAGAATACACGTGCAAACCTGTTTGTCTCCAGTGATGAATTCTACTTGAATTCCTCTAGTCTTGCTGGTTTTACCAGCGAAACTGGTAAACATCAACTAACTTTGAACATTGAATTAAAAATAACGTTTTGAAATCGCACATACAGAGAAGATCACAGCGAGCAAGCGGGTGAGTCCACGGTAGTAGAGTAAGAAGAATCCCGAATACAAAACACGAGAAATATCTTTCTTCCTTATACCTGAAATATGATTGTATCCTCAAGAGTAAAGAACTTTCACAGCCATACATACATTTCGCTGCTTTACAAATGGCATGCTTTTACTAAGCATTGCTGTGTTCAAGTCTGGTGGGCGAAATTCAAACAAGGGTGTCTAAACTTTCATAGTAACAGTCTTATCATTAAATAATAATGTGTTCGTAGCGATGTAAAAGTACCTTAAGAAGGGTTGGTATCCATAAACAGTATTATAAGTTAGCCTATTATTATCTTTCTAATAGTATGCATAGATTTTCCCTGTGATGAAGACGAGCTGAGAAAAAAGGTTTTAAAGAAACATGCCTGTCTATTAATTGTAATAGATAATATTGTTAATGTGTTTGAATCATTTTGACATGGAAATATAACTAACTTTTCTCATAACAACTGCCATTAATTTTAAATAAACATAAATTAACTTTTATCCTCTTAATTTACTGTTAGAATCGGGAACCTCAAATAAGAATAATTCAAACACCATATCATGCAGTTAGACACAAGATGTTATTTGACACTTCTGACCAGACACACTGTATCAACAAGGAGCCTAATATATTTTAACCGTTAACTGAATTAAAAGAACGAAAAAATTATAAAACTGCACTTTACTGTTGAATGTTGTTGCTAAGATTAATGGTAGT